CTGGTAGAATTTAGCGTTCACACAGCCTCGAGAGAGGAGAGTGGGTGTGGTTGGGGTGTGGGTGTGGAGTGGTTGTGGGCGTGCGGCGGCTAGAACTCGTCGTCGCGGCGGGCCGTCGTCGTCTCTCGCGCTCCCTCTTGTAGTCATCTCGAGGCCGCCCGCCAGGTCGGCGCGGCGTCCTCCTCGAACCGTTCTCCTCGCATGGCTCGCGATGTACCAGTGCACGAAGGGGCGCTTCTGGGTAGATTAGGTGGAACTTGGGTTTGGGGACGGCGCACGCGCTCGGCGATGGCCGTCGTGTTTGGACAGCATGCACCCGGCGGCGCCCCCGGCGCCATTGTCGCCGTCCGCGCAGAGAGGCGACTTGGAGTTGTGCCACCTGCGGAGGTATTTGCAGTGGTTTATTAAACGAAATAATTTACGGGTATCATATATTAAATGTAATTCGAAAATTAAGAATCAATGTTTTTTGGGTTGAGAATAATAATCTCGTATCGTATAGAAGGGTATGTATTAAGAATTATGTTTTTAATTTGAAAAAAATTCCAATGTGGCTATTATAATATTAATTGCAATGTGTCTATTCATCTGCAGAAAGTGACTGATTACGCTTATAAGTTAACGTAGGAGATAGGTCTAGGAAGAGGGAGGAAAAAAGATCGCGCGGGGTCCGTAACCCGTTTTTTTAGTCTGCTGCCGCGAAATTTGCCTGATACTAATCGGAGAAACCACAGAAAACTAACGATGTCAGCTTCCGGACGCTAGAATTCCCATCCCTATAGCGGCTGAATTCGACCTATCTATCTGGCTAGCATCGAAAATTTGCCACATTTGGCCCTCAAGCCTTGGAACTTGCCGATCAGAGTCACAGTAGAGAGAAAGATAATGCTGTCTCTCTTTAAGTACAAAGGCTGCCTTTCTCTCCCACATATAATTGAAGACATCCTTTTCTGTACCTTAAAGCCAGTGGGGCACCAGTCGACAAAGTTGATGCACTTCTTCTTTTTGATGGTGGCTATCGCTGCATTGATGTCCTTGGGCACCACGTTGCCTCTGTAGAGCAGGCAGCACGCCATGTACTTGCCAAGGCGGGCGTCGCACTTGACCAAGTGATGGACGGGCTCAAAGCAGGCGGCCGTAATGTCTGCCACGGACATTTGCTCGTGGTTCGCTTTCTCCACGGAGACGATCGGTGCATACGTTGCCAAGGGGAAATGGATTCTGGGGTACGGCACCAAGTTTGTTTGGAAATCTGTCAAGTCGACGTTCAGAGTTCCATCAAAACGCAATGACGCCGTTATTGATGATACAACCTGTAAACGAGATGAATATGACGAAATAAACAAACATTTTCAAAAGGTTTGAATGTACATTTTAGTAATAGCTTATATCCGTTGTGCATAAAATGTGATTTAATATTTACCTGGCCAATGATGCGATTAAGGTTCAAGTACGTGGGAGCCCCTATATTCAATTTTTGCACACACAAATCGTATATGGCTTCGTTGTCCACCATAAATGTGCAGTCTGTGTTGTCCATCGTGCAGTGAGTTGTTAATACTGTATTATAGGGCTCTACTACGCCACTGGACACCTAATAACAGAAATATACAATAGATTAAAATATTTTGACTTTCAAATAGTGGTGAGCTTATCTATTACCAAAATGTGTTTTATTGAATGAATAAAACGCTCTTAATATTCGATTGGCAGATTTTATACAATGCCAAAATTAGTCGAATTTTATATCCAGCTCAATAGAGGGATACTTGATAAAATTTAGGGGATCCTGAGGTTGCAATTTTTACTATAATTTCATTGAACAATGTAATGAAAAACACTTCACTGAACAAATATTGTTTTCCACTCAAGGCTATTGAATATTGTGGATAGTAATATTATACAAAGCGAAAAGTGCAGTTCTCTAAAGGATTACATTTAATGCAAAATTGTATTGTTATAGTTAATGAACACTTCAATGAGTAAAATCAACAAATATTTGGACTGAGCAGTATATAATGCGTGTTTCAAACCTTCTTTCCTTGAAAGATTTCACATTACTTACGAAATAATATTTATATCACTATTCTGATAGAAAACAAATTTTTCAGAAAGTAATATACTAAAATGCATATGAGAATTTATGATGTGAATTTGTGACATTTTGTCGAAAATTACAAAACGAATCGTATGAACATATTGGGTCCTTTCCAAATTCTCACATTAATATTTGGATTGAATATTATAGAATACTTCAAGTGCTTGAAGAGTATATCTGTTTGACCCAAACTTACTGTTCATGTTAGAGAACATACCTTCCGAAAGTATTTATGGCTAATTAATTTGTCACTTCAATATTAAAGAATCTTGAACGGCATATGTTGAAGTTCAATGAAACTGGAAAATTGTTAGTTGTGTACTTATGGACGACTGTACTTCAGAAGTCAAAAGTATTGATATGCCTTGAAAATGTGGTAGTCAAATTATCCATAATAAGTAATACGTTTTTCAAATCTCGCGGTTTCTTAATAGAGAGTATAACTTTCTGTTTTTTTTACTTCAGTTGATTTGATCTTCAAGAGATCCCAAAATATTTTAGCGCATGATTTGTTTTTTAAGATGCTGTGCACTATTTATATACGATAAAAATGTAAGAATGTTGAGAAGGACTCGGGGTATCTGCCACTGTTTTCAGAATAATGTAGTGATCAATTTAAAAACGATACTAACGTACCCATACTTCTCGTCTGAATTTTTTACACACTTGTACGCGTACAATAAAACACATCTTAATTGGATAATACTGACTGCACTTCTGTCGGTACGTTCTTTCCAATATAATATTTTCGGGTCAAAAGTTGCGAAAACGTATATATGATCAATTCACATTTTCGGTATCGGGGGGACGCAACACGTCTATTTCGGTTGAACTCTCGAATTCGATTTTCTCAGCATTACATAACTACACGCATACGCCTTGTACGAAAAGTAAATATGGTACTAAAGAACGGATACATTATTCTCGTACTAGTTAGATTCCCAAAGAGGACGAGTATGTATTGCTGCCATATATTGCCGCCTAAAAGACATATTTTCACATTTTTCTAATTTTACTGGCCCCTAATCGTAGGATTGAGGTGTGACTTTGAGAATGGTACAGATTGGTAAAACCTGACCCTACACGCAAATTTGAATAGTTGTAAATAAAGTTGAAAACTTTATTAAGAAAATATCGTTAGAGCATACATGTTCAATGTTGATCTTTTTCTTCAAAACTCTTTAATGTTTCGGGAAACTTCAGAAGAAATCATTTGAAGCACATACATTCATAAATGTAATAGTGTATTAAAAACGCACGTGATATGAATATTAACGATGATAGATATTTCAATAAAATTACATTCCTGTAAAAAATGAAGAGAAGAATGTTCAAGATAAAAATTGGAGCAGTTTTTTAGATCTACTTTTTTAATATTACTCACATTTCACTCGGAAACTTCGCGAAAATTCTCATTTGTTAAATAAATATATATGATATTAACCAAATAGTTAATTGGTGAGACCAACTTTTATTTCAAGAACAAGTATCCATCTTCAGTAATATAGTTACACGACGGGGTCGAATAATTTCAAATTTAAGCAATTTTTAAAATTTAGAGTTAGCAGTGAACACTAGACATACGTCATTTTTATGATTGTCTTTTCATAGAAAAGCTGTCCAGGTCGTTTCGATAATATTTATAACATTCATTTTGGCAAACTTCCTGCTGTTAGTTCAGGCGCTAGTGTTTTCATACATGACAGTTATTAAAACAAAAAATCCTTTTTTGGTATCAATAAACCACAAATCTTAGGTTTTGACTACTACCTATTAGGAAAATTGTTATTACATATGAGCGATTTAAAAAAACACTTGTATAGTATCAAGAAGCCACAAAACGTAGTTTTTCTGTGAAAAATCGACTCTTCGCTGAAGCATTACATTACTTTTTCTGTACCATTACTCCCTACGTATACAAAAAAGTAAAAATATATTTGTATACAATTGTGAAAATATTAATCGAAATGGTAGAAAAAAAATTAATTGAATTATGTTTTAATTCAATTAACCTTACATCAGGAACTCAGAACTAATAATATGTTGAAATTTCGTTAGTTCGTTCAAAAACTATCCGACCACTCACACAATTGTTTAATTTTATACAATCTTAGCCATAGACAATTTTGAGAAAATCTATGCAGTTTCCGAGAATATGTGATGAGAGGATGATAAAAAATGTCATTTTTCTAAATAAAAAAGGAGGAGTGATTCATACACAAGCATCAGAGGCCGTTTAAAAAGGATTAATTTTATAGATCACTCCTGAAGAAACAAACTTCATGTCCCATTTAGAACAAAGTTCCTTTAGAATCTCTCGCTCGAATGAAACTTCGGTTTTAATAGCCAGGTTAAGGACGCATCGTTTCTATGTTCAGCACGTTTTAGGTGCGTCATTTTTTACTCCTCACATCAAAATCTACAATTAATTTTAAATTTTCATCTTAAATATTTTTCATTCACTCATTGGATACCGTATCCATCTGAAATGCCATTAAGATATTTTGTGTTTTTGGCGACTTGCGTACCAAACATCTTAGCTTATCGTATTATATAAAGAGGGGATACAAATAATTTCAAATTCTGTCTCGGCGTCGTGGTGAAATCCTTGGCCTAGGTACACCGTTACTCTCGGGCAACTCCAATTCAGAAGGCAGAACGAGAGCAGTCAGAATTGCATTCTCTGCTCCTTATAATTAACACTATCCAAATCTCTGATGTTTCTATTTACCACAGCCCAGATTAATTTGCCAGAAATTATTGAAATTACTTTATAATATTCTTTAACCAAATATGTCTCCGTGGATCGGATGTCGTATAGTAGTAATGCTAACTACTGAGCCATCGAAGTCGTATTCAAAGAAGTCAAAATGTGCCCACACGACCTATTTGCCCGCCTGGGAATCCCTGCATTTGTTCGAACAGAGACCACTTCCCCAGACTTCTCTCTCATTTCCCCAAATCCAGAAATGAGTCTATAGAGGCAAGCTGAAGGCGCAAGGTTAAGCTTAAATCACGCTCGAATTATCGCAAACAATGACTGGTTCACACGAAAACATGTTGCTGG